GCGCTCACAGGGCGCCTCCTCCCTAAACGCAGGGACCCTGACCCTGCCCCGTCTCAAGGAGGTCCCTGTCGGAGGTGGGGGGAAAACCCCAAACAGATCCTTTAATGAAACAACGTGCTGTCTAATTTTTTTTTTTCCTTTTTGTCTTTTTTCGTGTCCGGCAACGGATCGCAACCCTCAGTGTCGCGCCCGTACCGGACCGGGACCGGCAACGGGATCGCAACCCTCGGTGCTGCGCCCGCACCTCGCTCAGCCAGTGAGCGGGAACTGGTCTGTATGTTGGATCCGAACCCTCGGCGGGAGCGCCGCCGCGCTCCCAAGCGGCGCACTGTAGCAGTGTGCCACCGGGCCGGCCCATAAATTTTCTTGGATTTAAAAAAAATATTTTTTATGTATTTTCATCCTTTTCTAGTTACATTCCCTCTGAGCTATCCTTGCTCATACAACATATATATTCTGTTTCTAATATTGTTATGTTGCTATCATTCTATGCTTGAATATCTATACATAATTTTAATGCTACTATCGTTTTCTTCCTTTTGGAATTACATTTTTTTCCCAGCTTTATTGAACTATGATTGACAAATAAAAATTGTATATATTTAAGGTATACAACATGATGCTTTGATATACATATACATTGTGAAATGACTGCCACAATCATTTACCTTGGGGAGTTGAGGGGAGAGTGGAGATACTGGCTCACTTCACCGAGTGGCAAAAATTAAAAAGACTGAAAATTAGGTAGTCCGGATGAGGATGCAGGAGAACAGATATTGTAATTCAGTGTTGGTGCAAATGTGACTTGCTGCAACTATTGGGAAATGTAAATCTAGGAATAACTACTAAAAATTTTAAACACAAATGCCTTTGCACAGAACTCCCAGTTTTGGGAGTCTAGTCCATAGTGTTAAGAGCATCAGTTAACAAGAACATATGAACAAAGGTATTTATTTAAGGATTAACTATACAGTAATGTCCCAAAACTGAATATATCTGAATATCCATACATTAACAGTGAAATGGTTGAGTAAACGAGGCTCACTAGTGTAACAGAATATTACCTAATATTAAAAGGAATCTGTTAGATTTCCATCCACTATTTTGAGAAATAGCCAAAATATATTCTTAGGTAAACAAAGCAAGATGCAGAATAATACATATTCATTTTAAAATATAACAACTACCACTGTATGTGTTTATGTGTATGTTGTGATTTGAATGTTTGTGCAAGTAGAAATGAATGGAAGGATGTATACCAGCCACTAACACTGGTTAGCTCAGAGGGAATGTGACTAGAAAAGGATGAGAATTAAAAAATTAAAATATATATATATATATACATATAAACAAATATATATATATA